TGAAAGTCCAACCAGAATGAACAGAGTGTTTTCCTGGCTCAGCTCCCACACAAGGGACAAACAGGGATGCTCCATGGAGGTTATCTCACTCCAGGCAGACACAGCAGGGCTGACTGCTGCTTCCAGGCACAATGGAAGTGGACATGAAAGTGTTTCCTTTTGTACAGGTCCAATCCAATGATTCTTTCTTCAGAGATTTTATCTTCCCTTTCACTGAGTGGCTGTCAAAAGAGACATCTCACAGTGCCCTCAGGCACTCACCACACGCTTGGGGTTTTGCAGAAACTAGTGACAATGTAGCAGCAGCTCAGAAGAGATTTTCTAATCTCTTGTCTGTTTATTCCACTACCGAAGGCCACTTGGGTTGATCCACGCAGCAAGAACTGTGCAGAGAGACGAGTCAGCACCACTCTCAAGGACCTGAAGATCATTTTCAGCTGGACCACAGGCTCCTTCAGCTCATGTCTCTTGGGGCAGTGTGAGAACATGTCCAACCTCCAACAGTGCTTCTCCTTCTGCACCACCTTGGCACCTCTTTTGCAGCTCCAACTACCCGAATCAGAGCAGCTTTGGCTGTGTCCAACATACCCTGCAGGCACCTTCCTTCACTAATTGATTTCCAAACCAACACAAATGTTCCCAGACTGAGAGGCCACTAGGGGACACCACCTTGTCTTCTCCCTCCACGGGCTGAGCTGGTCTGTAGTGATCTGCAGAGCTGAAGGACCAACACAACCTGCTTCTGCCTACACTTCTCTTGGAGGCCACAATTCTGTAATTACAGGAAGGTTTCTCTGCAGTTAAAGGTTTTACCTGCTCACTGGGCAAAGAGTTTGGAATTGAGACATTTCCAATCCTTTCTGCACATCCACACTTAATTTCTCCTCTGTGAGAGCCTTTACAAGACTCCACCACATGATTCTGCTACTTATTGCAGCAGAAGATGCAGCACATGCCAAAGGTCCTTTCAAAGGGCAAAAAAAGACCTTCTTACAGCTTCAAGTGGCAGGTTAATGGTTGGATTTGATGATCTTAGAGGTCTCCTCCAACCTCGATGATTCTAAAGATGTGTGCTTGGTAAAAACACAAAGCTTCAACACAAAGACAAAGTTGGAGCCTCCTCCAGGGTGGCAAGAACTTGCTTCCATCAGTGCATGGTGCCAGGAGAACTCTCAGGTGGGTCCTTCCTTCTTAAAGTAGTTTGGTCTCACCTGGGTCATGCTCAAAGGGAAGGAAAGTACAGGGCACAGAGCAAAGGGACATTCATTCCGTGAACATCAGCACTCAAATACAGTGGAACATGATGCAATGCTGCAAACCCAGAGTGAAGTTTTAGGTGCAGGTAGGTGGCAAGACACATTGCCTCCTGCTCTGCAGTGCTCCCCCACCAGCCCCTGCTCACAGGGCAGCAGAGAACCATCCTGGAAGCAGCACCACGAGAGAGAGAGAGAGCGAATGCGCCGGAGCGGGCGGTGGCGATGGCTCGTGATACCAAGCCATGCTGCACATCCCACCAGGAAGCAAATTTCTCTTTGCTGAAATGCTCCCAGGCTGCTGCAGCCTCTCAGTGCCATGCTTTGAGAAGGGAGTACAGGAGAACAATCACTCTGTGTTTCATCCTGGCCAGTGTGCGTGAGCTCAGAAGCAGCTTTGTCTTCTTACCCATCCGGAGAGAACCTCAGCGGCTTAACTGGGGCTGCAGACTAGTCAGAGCACAGGGGGTCAGCACACTGGAACTCAGTGAGGCCACACAAGGTTAGTTTGGAGAGGCATTTGAGGAGAACAGGAGAACAGCTTTCACTGTTCTCAGGTCAAACAGCAGAACAAATCAAACATAGGAGCAGTCAGATGGATGAGAACAGGACAGTTTATTAGCATTTCATGTTTGGGAACAGGGCTGTTAAAAGAAGTTCTGACTGCAGAAAGGAACATGATTTCCTTCCCATGGACACCTTTAATATCCTCCTCCTGGGTGACAATCCCAAAAGACATGAATACAAAGCATAAAAAATGGAATAGACACAGGGAAGATTATTTCTTACCTTCATCTCCTCTTCCATCTCAGAGAGTTTCCGCTCCAGGGCTCGCTTCTCCTGTTTACAAGGATCCACAACAAAGAGGGTCACAAGGATTTAGGAGACAAAATTACAGTATATTTGCTTATAAAGAAAAACACGAGTCTTGTATTTTTGTAGGAGCACTGACAGAAGAGCAGCTCAAAGCCAAGCAGAGGTTACAACCAGGAGCTGATCAGATGGGACAGGGCAGCTGGCAAACCAGCTGGGCCTGTTTGGGCAGATCCTGAGCTCTATTCATACCACTGATGAAATTATCCCTCAGTTTCAGTGATCCCAGTTCTCAGGAGTGGCTGATGTAATGGGATTTTGAGCTCTGTAGGAGAAGCCATGGATTTACTTACACTCCACTAAGGGAGGCAATGAAAAAAGTCACTGAGCTGCTCAAATAGGAAGCAGAGAACAGGGAAAGGTGCCTGGAAATCCTCCTTCTCCCAGATTCATTTGGGGCTGCAAAGCTGTAAAGCATTTTGGAAAGGAGGATTACACAGGCAGGCTCTGCCATGGGAGCTCTGGTGCTGCCCTCAGCCAGAGCCTGTGCCTAGGGGGAGAGATCTGGACTCCCTCAATGACTTTCCCAACACAAAGGGGCTCAAACCACCTCAGAGACATGCCCTAAGCAGGAGGAAATGGGAAGTGCAGGTCAGGAACAGGATTTACACCCTCTGACCCACTGCTCTGCCCTCTGCAAAGAGACATTAGGCCAGGAGAGTGAGAAAAACATAGGTGCTGAGTGTGGCTGTGGGTGATGGGTTCTGGGTCACTTTTTGTCCATAATCCACTTCATCCAGGGATTCATCTGTGTGAAATGCACGAGCCACCCTGGAAACAGCTAATGCCATGTTCACTGCGAACAATCAGGCTAATTTTCACTCTCTAAGTCTCAGAAACTCATATTTGTGGCTGTTGTGATCCTAACTCAACACAAGTTATGCAGAACATTGCCCTGACTTCAACAAGGCCAAGTGCAAGGTCCTGTCCCTGGGATGGGGCAACCCCCAGTATCACCTCGGGCTGAAGGGATCGACAGCAGCCCACCCAGGCTTTTGCCTTGCTTCCCCACCACTCCAAACCAGCCTTTATTTATAAGGACCAAGACTATTTTAAAGCAATAATGGACCAACAGCCTCTTAGTGTGATAAAATTCGTTGGTCTGCAGCTTCCTATAAGGAAAAGAGAAATCAGAACGAAGCTGATGTGCAAAGAGAGCTGCAAAGTCTCAGGCCCTGCAAAGGTCAGAACACAATTATCACTGTGTGCTGCTCCACAAGGCAAAAATACAACTTATCTTTTAATTAATGCTCTCCTTCTAGAACTGAGTGTACCCTGCAGAGCAGCACAGGGCAGGGACTGAGACTCAGAAGAAAGCAGAGAACACATACCCTCTTCTCCATCTCCAGCATGCTGGACCGGTCAGAGCTTTTCTCCTGCTTCTGCCATGGAAATCAAAAATAGCAAGTGATTAATCCCTGGAGCACTCACAGTGCTGCACAAGGCCAAGACAGCACACAAACGCTCTTGCCCAAAGAAGAAGCAGATCCTTACAGAATCACCCACTTACTGCGGTGAAAAATAAGTCTCCTCTGTAGCACCTTCCCTCCCAAGAGCAGCCATCCAGAAGCTTCCCTCCCTTCCCCATCCTGGAACAAATGCTGGGTTTGTCATGGCCCAGTTTCCAGTCAACACATGGATCTTCCCTCACCTGGGCTGCTTTTTCCAACTTTGCTTTGATGTCAGCCAGCTCCAGTTGGGCTTCCTGCAGCTTGGACTTCAGCTTCTGATTTTCAGACAGGGCACTCTCGTACAACTGGAATACAAACCAAGAGCTCAATTAATCAGGCTCCTCCTGGTTAATTAACCCTGTCCTGCTCTGAGCAGACAGTGTCCTCAGCACTGACTGTGGGGCTGGCTTTGATCCCCCAGGTCAGGAGATAAGAATCACAGAATCAATTAGGTTGGAAGGGACCACAGTGGGTCATCTGATCCCACTTCCCTGCTCAAGAAGGGCCAGCCCAGAGCACATGGCTCAGGGTTGTGTCCAGATGGTTTTGAAATATTCCCGGTGAGGGAGAATCCACAACCTCTCTGGGCAATCTGTTCTGCGCTCAGTGACTGCACAGGAAAGAAGTTCTTCCTCATATTCAGGTGGAACTTCCAGGGCATAACTGCTGTTGCTGCTTGTTTTATTGGTTTGCACCACTGAGAAGAGTTTGGCTCAATTATCTTGGCACTTTCCATTCATGTACTTGAATACATTAATGAGTCCCTCTCAACAACCCTCTGGGTTGTCTCTTCTGGAGACTGAACAGCCCCAACTCCCTCAGCCTTTCAAGCTGAGTTTGCCCTGAGAAGGGCAAACAGAACCAGTTTGGATGCTTTACTTGTGTTTTCGTAATTCATATGAAATGAGAAAACAGCTGTTGAATTTCGTAGGGAGTCTGAACACAAACAAGAGGCACAGAAAAGGAGATGGGTTTAATTTAGGTAGTTCCTCCCTGTGAGGGTGCTGAGGCACTGGCACAGGTTGCCCAGAGAAGCTGTGGCTGCTCCACCCCTGAGAGTGTTCCAGGCCAGGTTGGACAGGGCTTGGAGCAACCCGGTCTAGTGGAAGGTGTCCCTGCCCATGGCAGGGGGTGGAAGGAGATGAGCTTTAAGATTTCTCTCAACCCAAACCCTGCTGGGATTCCATGAAACAGTGAAAATGAAAACCAACTTTCTCTCTTTCCTCCCACAGACTCAGGGCAGGTTTCTGCAGCCACGGGCAGGTCTGTGGTGTGTGCAGTGACAATAACACATTTTAAAATCCTACTTTTTTGTAGTCCCTGTTGCTCTCCTCCTCTGCCCTGCTGCTGAGGGCAGCCAGCCGGTTCTCCCGCCGGCTGTAGGCACTGGAGCGGCTGGAGGCACGGTCACTGTAGTCACTGGTGCTGGGGGTCGTGGCTGCTTCCAACCTAAAATGGGATGAAGATCCAGCTCTGTGGAGCTGCTGGAACTTGGAACAGACAGCATGAGCCCAGATGGTTGGGACCGAAGGCTGTGGCAGCCCCAGCTGAGCCCGAACGCTGGGATGGGTTGGAGCACCCTCCACCCCTCTGGGCATCTCTGCCCAAACCCAAACTGGAAAAGATGCCTTGGGTACTAGCCCAGCCCCCAGTGGGCAGTGATTTCCCATGGATCTCATCCTCAAGGTGGGAACAGGTTCCACTTTGAAGAGGGCACTGAAGGATTCTTGTCTCTGCAGGTAAATGGTTTGGGGAGCAAAGGATAGAAGCAAACTGGTCCCACAGCTGAGCTCAGGTGAGAACCAAGGGGCAGTACCAGACTGGACTTGGAGCGCAGGGAATCCCCAAAGCCATGCAAAAACATGCTGACAGTAAATATTGCATAGAAAAAAAAATAAAAAGAGAAATTCTTACCTGGAAAGCCTTTCATGCTGAAGGGAAAAAAAGAACAAGAAAAAGGGAATTAATAATGAGGAGAATTAAGGTTCAGTTCAACAACTGCAGAGCTGCAGGCAGCAGTGATTTCCCAGCTGACACTAGCACCCAGCTCACGCCAGGCTACAAGAGATCTCCCAGCCCACACTTGGAATCTCCAAACCCTGACTGAATCTTTTCAACTGCTTCAGCTCCTCTGAAGCATCTCAAGATTTCATTTCTTTCGCCAGCCTAAGGAATCCTGAGCCTTGCTCTTCAAATCCTCATTTCCAGAACTGAAATCCCTGCCTTTGAACCCAAACTAATCCATTGTTTCCCTTTTTAAATGAAGTTATTCCTCTTGCCTTTGATCACTGTTCTGTGTGTGATGTGGGTGAGGGTTAATGGAGCTCCTGATGTGTTTGTGCTGAACGTCAGGAAATCACAAATGCTCTCCATGGGCAAATCCTTTCCCATGGAGAAAAGCTTCACAGTGGCATGGAGAGACACAGCAGCAGCTGCAGGAGGGAGGAAGAAGAACCTTACACCAGGGTGAACATGTTGGTTGAAGCCTGTGTTAGGTTCTTCTTTCCCCATCAACATCCAAACCTCTGCTGTGCCATCCTCATGCTGCCTTTGGATATTGAGTGGCTGAGAGTGTCCAGAGATGGGAACAGAGCTGGGGAAGGGGCTGGAGCACAAGGAGTGGCTGAGGGGGCTGTGGGAGCTCAGCCTGCAGAAAAGGAGGCTTAGGGGAACCTTCTGCTCTCTACAACTCCCCAACAGGAGGTACAGCCAGGTGGGGGTTGAGCTCAGCTCCCAGGGAACAAGGGACAGGACAGCAGGAAACAGCCTCAAGCTGTGCCAAGAGAACTTTAGGTTGGATATTAGGGAAAATTTCTTCCCTGACAGGATGTTCAGGCCCTGGCACAGCTGTCCAAGGCAGTGGTGGAGTCACCATCCCTGGAGGTGTCAATACCATGTGGATGTGGCACTTGGGGACAGGGTTAGTGGCGACCATGGCAGTGCTGGGGCAATGGTTGGACTTGAGCTTAGAGGGCTTTTCCAACCTAAATGATCCTGTGATTCTATCCTGCAGAGGCTGGTTGTGGAAAACCCCTGTTTTAATCAAGTTTTCTGGACTGGAGTGTTCCTTCCTGCAGCTGCAGAAATCCAGTGGTGATGGCATTGCTGTCCTGCAGGACACACCACACTGCCTGCCACCTCCTCTGAGAGCTCTCTTTCTCTCTCTTGCAGATGTTTACTCAATGCCAAGGCGCATTCCAACTCTTTTTGGTCCCTTGAACTGGAAATTGAACCCAGTATTCTTCTGCTGGTTTAGCAGCAGTGTCATTGCTCCAAGTGAGCACAAACCTACCACAGGCACTTACAGACACTTCCCTCTGTCCTTTTTAACAGAGTCAAGACAAAGCCATGGTAGAGCTGACGAGGGTTGGGCTGTTGGTGCCCAGATATGCTTGTGCTGGAGCTTGTACTGTCACCCACACCAGGAAAACCAGTGCTAACACCTGGCTGGGAGGCAGATTTGCTGCTTGTCTGGCATCCTGGGGCTTGCAGACTTCAGACCCGGCACCCAGCTGGTGCCTCTGATCCTGGGCATGGATCTGGGAGCACACAGCATGGACAAAGGAATTAAGTCACCCCATTACATGGAGCAGGAGGAGGCTGAACAAGCAACCTCATCATCTCTCTGCTCAAAGCCTAAGGAGCATGAGGGCAAGGCCCAGAGCATCCTGCCCTGTGCCCAGCCCTGCCCTTTGCTCAGCAGGACACAAGGACTCACCTGCCTATCACTTATGCCTGGTTATTAAGACTTTCATTCATCCCACCCTAATGGAACCCTCATGTGCATCCTGATCCAAGACAGGAGCATCCCCAGGGAACCTGCAATCCCTGGGCTCTGTGGCACAGCCTGGTGAACTGACCAGGAACAAACTGCCCCAAGGGATCTGGTGCATGTGAAGCCTCAGGGACAGACAACATACCCAGACAAAGCTGCTACATGCAAAACTCAAGAGGATAAGCAAACCCCACTATGAATTAGCACATTCTCCTTCAAGCTGCACCTGCAGGGCCACCCTCAGCCAGGCCCTGGGGCAGGCCTGGTGCCAGCCCCACACTGGGCACTGTCACCAAAGCTCCAGGAGTCCATCCCGAAGCAGGGACAGGTCCTGAGCCATGGCAGCAGCCCCAGCCCTGTATTATTTCATTTACTCCAACCCTTTCTTTGCATCTTACAGAGGAGACAGCAGATGCCTTTCCACCATGGCCAAGCCCTGCTGCACCTCTACAGGCCACGCTGGATGCTGTCTGGGAAGTGTCCTACAGGAACCAATGTCCTGCCTGACATTGTGGCAGGGACATCTCCCTGCCTGTCCAGCAAAGGCTTGGGCCATGTCTGTATGAAGCCCAAAGGCAACAGGTTGGGAGGCAGTTTCCATACAGCTGGGCTGCAGCATGGGGCTGTTGTTAGAAATATGGACCAGAAATCTAACCACATCCTGGGCTCAGCCCCACAGTGTGGGCAGCAGGTGAGGGGAGAATTGTGCCCCTCTGCTTTGCTCAGGTGAGACACACCTGCAGTGCTGCCTCCAGCTCTAAGGCACCAAGAGAAGGCTGTGGAGCTGCTGGAGAGAGTCCAGAGGAGACCACAAGGATTCTCCAAGGGCTGGAGCACCTCTGCTCTGGAGCCAGGCTGGGAGAGCTGGAGGTGTCCAGCCTATGAGAGAAGCTCTAGGGTGACCTTAGAGCCTCTTCCAGTGCGGGGCTCCAATCCAAGAGAGATGCAGAAGGACTTGGGACAAGGGATGGAGGGACAGGACACAGGGAATGGTTTCCCACTGCCAGAGGGCAGGGCTAGATGGATATTGGGAAGGAATTCTTGGCTGTGAGCGTGCTGAGGCACTGGCACAGGTTGCTCAGAGAAGCTGTGGCTGCTCCATCCCTGGGAGTGTTCCAGGCCAGGTTGGACAGGGCTTGGAGCAACCTGAGCTAGTGGAAAGTGTTGGAATGAGATGAGTTTTAAGATCCTTCCAACCCAAACCACTACATGAATTCAATGACACTACAAAAGATTTCCGGTCTCAGCCACACAAACTCACTGATGATCTCTCCATAGTGCTTTGTTATCTGAGCTTTCAACATCTGCTTTTCAAACCCCTCGGCAGCCTGACAGCTCCCTTTGAATCCTGGCCCAAAGACCCAAGCTCCCCTGGAGAGGAGAGAAGGGAATTAGGCAGTGATTAACAAGCCTCTTGTTGAAAGTTGTTTGCACACTTTATGCTAATCTCCTTCAGTGACAACTTTTGTAGACAAAAGTTTTTTGTTGGACAAGTAATCCACTCCCTCTCAAGCCTGAACTTATTTCAGCAAACACATCTGCTAATGGATTTGAGCAGCACTGAGAAAGGCCCATGTGGCTGGGTAAGGTAACGGAACCAGGCAATGAACCCAGGCAGGTCCCAGAGACACCTTGAGCTCTGGCAGCAACAGGGAAAAACCACTTTTGCCTTTTTTCTCCTGCAAAGAAACTAGTAATTTCCATAGGCAGGGAGAGCAGGGTGTGCTTCTGCAAAGGAAGGGTGGGATAAAAAGGAATCATTTTAAACATACACAGCAAAAAAGGGAAAAAACCCCAGGATTATTGTATTTACAATCTTCCTGCGATCGATGGTGAGGTGGAATGGTTCAGACTGTGACTGTGTCTGTGTGTATAAAGAGAAGGAAGGAGCTAGATGAGAGGGTATGACCTGCATCATTCCTGTGCTGCTGCCAGCAGTGAGCAGAGACACCTGGCAGTGACCTCCAAAAGTGGAATCACAGCATCATTGAGGCTGGAAAAGCCCTCCAAGATCATTGAGTCCAACCATGTCCCCAGGTGCTACATCCACATGGTATTGAACACCTCCAGAGATGGTGATTCCACACTGCCCTGGGCAGCTGTGCCAGGGCCTGAACACCCTGTCAGGGAAGAATTTTCCCCTAATATTCAACCTGAACCCCCTCTAGCACAGCTTGAGGCTGTTTCCTCTTGTTCTAGGAGCAGAGCCTGACCTCACCTGGCTGCACCTCCTGTCAGGGAGTTGCAGAGTGAGAAGGTCCCCCCTGAGCCTCCTTTTCTCCAGGCTGAGCCCCCACAGCTGCTCCTCATCAGACTCTTGCTCCAGCCCCTTCCCCAGCTCTGTTCCCTTCCCTGGATATGCTCCAGCAACTACAGCCACACTGGGACCGCTCCAAACAAAGCCCTGAGTGTTCCTTATTGCCTGGGGATTTCTCTTCTGTGACTTCATCTCCCTTTAATCATAGTTTCATAGTATGTTAAAGGGTTGGAATGGACCTCAGAGATCATCTAGTCCCAATCCCCTGCCCTGGGCAGGGATACTTCCCACCAAAGCAGGTTGCTCAAGACTTTAGCCAAGCTGGCTCTGAACACTTAGAACACTTCAACTTCATCTCTGCCATCAAACTACTTCAAACTTCTGCAGAAACAGCATGGATCAACAGGAACCAATGTGATCACAGCCGTGGGAGAAGCTAGTGGCCATCCCTCACCCTTCAGCTGCCTCTGTCCTCATTATTTCAGTCAATAGTGGTATTTTTGAGACAAAGATGATCAAGTTTGAGAGCAACTGGAGAAAGACTGAGGCGTGGAAGGAAGAGCCTGATAGGATGTGCAGGTGGAGGGTCCCTGCCCAGGAAGCTGCACAACAGTTTACATCAGTGGATCCTTCTCCCACTTGCTGCTGCCTTCAGGGAAGGAGATAAGATTTATTTATTTGGTTTTAAATCAGTTTCTGGCTCGAGATATTCCTGGGTTTTGCAGAAATGCTGGTGTTTGTGCTGGTATCTCAAGGAGCAGCTTATGCAGAGCAGCTTATGCAGGTGTTTATGAATTTGTTTAAATCACAAGGAGGAGGGGGGAAAATGTTGAATGGAAAAGAGAAGTTCCACTTTGAGCCTTCAAAAAAAAATGCTCTGGCTGAAAGAGGTGCCATGG